GGGGGGGGGAGGAAGGAGGGAATGTGAGTAGTCAAGAATGTGAGTAGTCAAGGGCTTATCAGCTAGTTGATGACTCAACTATTCACTTACAACCTTAGCCTCTCATGGAAACTTTAGGAGGTTTGTCACAGGAATCCAGGACCTAGTCACAGAAAGCATACATCGCTCTCCAGGGCACACAGGCTACATCTACACTGAACAGTTATTTCACAATAAACTATTCCACAGTAGTTTTTCCAAAATAGCTTATTTTGAAATAGCATGTCTACACTGCAGAGAAGCCTCAAAATTAGTCCGAAGCAGGCTTCCCTAATATAGATGTGCTATCTCGATTTAGAGCCCCAGGAGGAATAACTTAGAATGGTCCTGGTGAGGGACTATTTCCAAATAGCAGCAGTGGAGTAACTACAAATGTCTTATTTCGAAATAGCTATTTTGGAATAGGCGTTATTTTTCATAGAATGAGGTTTACAGAAGTTGGAATAAGCTGTCTTTTATCTCAAAATTATTTAGAAATAACAGAATTGCTGTGTAGACGCTCACACAGTTATTTCGGAATAACAGCCTGTGGTGAATCAGCATGGCCTCTCCCACAGAAACCCCTTGGTGGGCGGTGCCAGAGTCATCCAGCCCCACCCACAGGAAACAGGAAGTGAGAGCTAGGGGTATAAGAAGGGAAGCTCCCAGCTCAGTCAGAGCCCAGCTGCTGAGCAGTGCAGAGGCTTTTCCCCAGCCTCAGTATAGAAATGCCCTGACATGCCATGATCCGGTGAATGACTGGGTCAGGCCACCCGGGCCGCTACCAGGCCCTGATCCCAGGCCTAGACTGCCCCAGCCACTGCTGGACCTAGATCCCGGGACATCTGGGCCCACTGATCTGTCAGGACCCTCAGGACTTGCGCGAGACCCCGCCGAGTGGGCCAGACCGCCTGGAACCTTGCCTACCCCAGATCCCAAGCCTATGGACACCCTGAACCAAACCCTAAAGCAGCACTGAGCTCAGAGCAGGAATCCTCTCTCTCACCATTGCACTTCCCCTCCTTTTGAGACACACACTTTCCTGTCCTCTTTCTCGGAAAGCCATTTCCCATTATTTCCCCATCCAAAAAATAAGGCTGAAGATATGCTAGTACGAATTCTTGCAGCCAAGAGGACACTAACATGATTGTGCATATTACTTACTGACCCCTTTTCACTTTCACACTGTAGTCTTTGTTTTTCTCCATATGCTGTACTCTGCAAATCAGCTCTTGCCCGAGCAGGCTTGTAGAACTGTTGACGTAGAGTTTGCTGATGACTGATATTGTTCCATTGGCGTGCTGGACCTCCTCCGTCGTACCCTCAGCATTTGGCACAATCCAGGTGATCACAGGACGAGGCCAGGCACTGGCTAAACAGGTTGCTGTCAAGTTACCTTCAGAGACGGTATAATGAAGAGATCCTCTAAGCTCCTCTGAAACACAATCACAGTCATAAGGAGCTGTTGATCAAATGGAATAGCAACAAAACCAATAGACCTCATTACATTCTGACGCAGCCCCACAGGGAGCGGACACAAATAAGTCCCACTACCCCAGACCCTTGCCATGATTCATTCCCATTTTCTTTTTTCACCTATATTAAAGGGAACTATCATGGAGGAGTTAACTTCTTGTAAGATCCCAGAATTGAGAATTCCTACCAAGAGATAAATCACGTGGCCACCTCACAATGTCCTCCTAGCGGCTACCAGTAGTGTTGTGCCATGAGGAAGCTCACACTGCTGAGTCCTTGCTATAACTAAGACGATTCTGCAAGGAGGAACTTCTCCCTCCCTGAGTTTTAGCTGGCACTCAGTCTCCAGTCCACATGCATGGGCCTGCATTCAGGCTCTTACAGTGCTGGAATCCTGCTAGTAGTGACAGACAAGGTACTTGTCTAACACAGTTCCAGCCAGTACAGGCATGGTACTGGAGAGGGGAAGCTCCAAATGCTGGAGTCCTGGATGCAGCCGACCCGGGAAAGCTGTGAGCAAATGCTGCAGCTGGAAAACACCTTCCCATCCCATTAGAGATTCTTACGCACAATGAACCTTACCATAGACGGTCAAGCAGGTGTCTTGTGGGATGGGTCCTAAAGGATAGGTATTAAAGAGGCATTTATAACACCCATCATCCTGGATTCTAACTCGCCAGAAGGTGATGGCCGTATCATTCAGTGACAGACGTGTGAAATTTAATCGACCTCGGTATTTGTCAACAACATTTACTCCTCGTTGTAAACTGTACGTGGCCAAATTTTCATTGTTATTGTTATTTTTCTTCTGCCATGTAACTTGCAGAATTTCACGTGATCCCGTCAGGAGGCAGCTCAAAGTCACATTGCCACCCACCTCCACCACTTTTCTCTGCGTCACTGTGTCCACTGTAGCAATACAGAACAATATACAAATAAGACACATTTCACTTTTGCTCATGCTTAAAAGTCTCTTAGTGATTTTCCGAGCCAATTAACAAGCAGGGGTAAAATGGTGCTTTTCTACTGATCTCAGTGGAGCACTGTTGATTTACACCAGCTGAAGTCATTCTTTATTAGACCATCAAAAAGGGAAAGCCACTTACTGCACCTTCACACCAAACCCTCTACATACCTACCTCCACTTCATTAAATCTGCATAGGGCTTTGGGTTCTCCCAACTAGGGATGTTAAATATCATGTAATTGAATAGTCATGTAACCACATGAAATTTTAGCAGTTATGCGACTATTTGATAGTCCCCGGGCATGGGGCTGGCAACCAGTGAGCTCCCAGCCCTGCTCCCGGGGGGCCCTCTGCCACCCTGTGCTGCTGCCTTTCTATCAGAGGCAGCAGCATGGGGTGGCAGCAACCCCTGTCTGTGGGGGGATTGGAGCTTGCCATGGCTCACTGCGGATAAAGACTGCTCCATGGGATGCTGGAGCAGCCCCTGTATGTGGGGATCTCAGACCCCCATGAACAGGGCCTGCTGCCACAGAGTAGGGATGTTAAATTTCAACGAATTGACTAATTGAATAGTCAATGCAATTTGCATCGACTATTCGATTAGTTGATAAAGGTGCTTCTGCTTTTGAAGTGCAGGGCTTCCCCGGGGCTGTTGCTGTACTTCAAGACAAAAGTGCTGTGTGGAACACAGGGCCAGCAGGAGATTCAAGCAGTCCCCTGCTGGCCCTGTGCTCCCTGTGGCATTTCAAAGCAGCAGTGCCGTGTGGAGCCCGGGGTCAGCGATGGAGTCCCCAGCTGATCCCAGGCTCTACGCGGCACTACCACTTTGAAATGCCGCTTGCAGCCCAAGGCCAGCTGGGGACCCCAAGCTCTATGCAACGTTTCAAAGAGGCATCACCACTAGGAGGCCTGAATGGGGAACAACTCTGATAACCCCCAAGTTAACCTCACTTCCAAATTACTTACAAAAATCTACCATAAAAAGTGTCACAGCATACTATGGGTATGTCTACACTACCCCGCTAGTTCGAACTAGCGGGGGAATGTATGCATACCGCACTTGCTAATGAAGCCCGGGAAATTCAAATCCCGGGTTTCATTAGCAAGTGCGGTATGCATACATTCCCCCGCTAGTTCGAACTAGCGGGGGAATGTATGCATACCGCACTTGCTAATGAAGCCCGGGAAATTCAAATCCCGGGCTTCATTAGCATAAGCGGGGAGCCGCCATTTTTAAATCCCCGCTGCTTCGAACCCCGTGCAGCGCGGCTACACGGGGCTCGAACTAGGTAGTTCGGACTAGGGTGCCTATTCTGAACTACCGTTATTCCTCGTGAAACGAGGTGTACCGGTAGTTCAGAATAGGCACCCTAGTCCGAACTACCTAGTTTGAGCCCCGTGTAGCCGCGCTGCACGGGGTTCAAAGCAGCGGGGATTTAAAAATGGCGGCTCCCCGCTTATGCTAATGAAGCCCGGGAAATTCAAATCCCGGGTTTCATTAGCAAGTGCGGTATGCATACATTACCCTCCTAGTTCGAACTAGGAGGGTAGTGTAGACATACCCTATCTCATTTTTAAGCATACAATTATAAAATAAATCAATTGGAATATAAATATTGAATGTACATTTCCATGTATAGTATATAAAGCAGTACTAACAAGTCATTGTCTGCATGAAATTTTATTTGCACTGGACTGCATGACTGCTTTTTCCTGTAGCATGTTGTAAAACTAGGCAAATGTCTAGGTGAGTTGAAGTATTTCCTGAAAGACCTCTGCATCCCTCCAGAGGTACATGTAATGCTGGTTGAGAACTACTGTCTTAGAGGGCCCAGTGGCATAATGAACTATTACTTTTTTATACTGGTGAAACATCAGAAATCAGAGACAACTCCCAAACCTCTTGTAGAAATCTGAGAAGAAATTCCACTAGTCTCACCTTCCGCCCTGCACAGCACGATAGAGACCACACTCAAAACCAGACCTTGGAAAGTCATCTGAGAACTGATCTCTTCTTTCAGCTGGAGATGTGGGAGAGATTTGATACATGAAGTTATAGGCTTAACAGGAGCTCTATTTACAGTGCTAATGCTCCAGTTTATGGAGCTATGACAAGACCACTCTTGAGTGTAACAGGACCACATTTACAGAGTGAGTCCATTTTTATGGGTCTATTACACTACCATGTGATTGAGGAGTAGAACCTAGAAAGTTACCTGAAGTTAAATCTGTTTATTCTACCCACCCTCCACCCAAAGTTCAACATTTCAAATGAAATTTCAAACAGACCTCTTAAAGTTGCAACCCAAAAAAATTTGCACATGCACTGTACATGCAAAATAAGCATTTGCACATGCCAATCATGTTTGTGCACCCAGCACCTACATGCATCAAAGACAGGTGGGCCCAATACCAGAGGTATAATTGAAATGTTAGCATCTGCAGGCTTAAAAACCAGCTAGAAAGTATCGGGGATGGAGAGGGACAGGGATTTGATAGTTTTAGGACTTTGCTGGCATGTTCAGTTTTCTTATGATCATTTTATCTACCAGGGTACAATTATTCCTCATGGATTAGTCACTTTGCAGATCAGTGCATAAATTGACCACCAACTGTGATACAGAAAGAAATGTTTCCTCTACATTAAGGATGTTAAGAGGCAGGTAATTCACTAATCATGTAGTTCATAGAATTTTTATCAACTACAAGATTAGTCGATAAGGGAAGGTGATCAGTCACAGTTAGTGCTGGGTCTGGGACCTCCCCGCACCAAGGCTCTCCAGTTTAAATGTAGTCAGAGCCAGGCAGGCAGGCAACCCAGCTCTTACTACATTTAAAATGCAGAACCACTGTGTGGGTAGCTCCTGGACCCAGGGCAAGCCAGGACTGAGCCAGCCTTGCTCAGTTACAGCTTGTGCTGGGTCCAGCAGCCCCTGTCTTCAGGGGGTCTCAGCCTCCCCTGGCCTCACCCTGTCTTGCTGCCTCTATCAGGGGGAGAGAGGAAGGTGGCACCACAGATAGTGCTGGGGGGAAACCAGTTCCCGCCAGCACTAGCTCCTGCTCCCCTCCCCTTTGCTGCCTCTGATACAGAGGCAGCAAGGGACAGAGGGAAGTGCGTAGTCAAGTAGTAGATAAGCCTAGGCTTATTGGTTAATCAACTATTTGATTACATTCCTACTCTACATATAGTGCTAGTAGATGAGTCATCTCTGTCACAAATATTTCTAAGTCACTTTTACCTTAGTACCATAGTATCTAAGTGCTGCAGTAGTGTTTATACTAGAAATGGCTGATCACCAGACCCCGTTTTTCATTACATTTTCATTTAAAGAATCATTCTTTTTTGGTGAACATTTTCAAAATTGGTAAATTTTCAGCCAACTCTGGGGCTACCTCTAGACTACATGGCTCCGTCAATGGAGCCATATAAAATAGTTTATTCAGCATAGTCAAAGAAGTGGGGATTTAAATAATCCCCGCTTCATTAAAATAAAAATGGCCACTGCGCTGTGCCGACGATCAGCTGATCCAGCACAGCGTGGCAGTCTAGACACGGCACAGTCGACAAGAGAAGCCTTTGTCGACTGCTCCAGTAAACGAGGCATACCGGAGCGGTCGACAAAGGCTTCCCTTGTCAACCGCACTGTGTCTAGACTGCTGCGCTGTACCGGATCAGTTGATCGTCGGCACAGCGTGGTGACCATTTTTATTTGAATGAAGCGGGGATTATTGAAATCCCCGCTTCTTTGACTAGCTGAATAAACTAATTTACATGGCTCCGTTGATGGAGCCATGTAGTGTAGACTTAGCCTGGCTTATACCCTGTGTTTAGCATTGGCCATACTGGAGACAAGATGTCAGACATGATGGATGAGTGTCCCTTATGGTTTCCCCCTTGAAAGACAGGGAGAAAGTGAGAGGCATACAAACACATGCATGTTTTCAACAGCATTAATAGCAAAGCATCAATACACAATACATTAAGCTAAATGCAGTCTCAATAGGGGCAAAAGAATGGCCTAAAACTTGCACAAACTTTGGAAAAGTTTGGATCTGAAATATCTCCAATTAAAGCATTGTAAGGCAATATTTAACTGCTATTTCTCAGTCTGCTATGGTCATTCTTCCAGTATCACCTCACAGTTTTTAACAAATCACATGAGCAACAGAAGCCTCAGAAGTCTAGCAGACAAAGGTACAGTAGAATCTCAGAGTGATAAACACCTCAGGAATGTTGTAACTCTAAACAGTTTATAATACTGAACAATACATGATGGCTGTTCTTCCAAAAGTTTACAGTTAAACATTGACTTAAAACAGCTTTGAAACTTTACTATGTGGAAGAAAAAATACTGTATAACAAGATGCAAGGCTAAAGGTTGAAGTCCAACAAATTTGGAATAGACATAAACACACTATTTAAAAAAAAAAACAGAGAGAGTAATTAGACATCGGAAAAATTTACCTAGGTTAGTAGTGGAGTGTCAGTTACTGAAAATGATTAAACCAAGATGGGATGTTTGTCTAATAGATTTACTCCAGCTCAGGATAGGAATATAAAACACCCTGCAATAGTTAACCAATTGAACGTTTTTGTTTAACCAGTTAACTATCATGGATGAGGGGCCACTCCAGTCTGCCATGCCACAGGTGGGATCCAGCCAGCTGGACTTGCCCTGGCCATGGGCTGATACAGCCCATTGAGGGCATGGTCTAGCTGGCTGGGCCTGCCACAGCCGAGGGCTGCTCCAGCCAGCCAAGGGCAGAGTCTAGTTGGCCAGGACTGCTATGGGCAAGGTGCGGGAGCCAGACAGCTGGGCCAGTTAACCAAGTAACTTGTAAACAGGCCAATAAACCACTTTCTTACTGGGTAACAGATTAATCTCTTACATCCCTAGTTCAGGGTGAACACACATAAAATCAATCATTGAAAATCATTTTTTTTTATTTAAATCTGATTTTTTTTTATTTTTTAAAAATAAAATAATAGATTTCTCATTTAAAAATAATAGTTACAATTAAATCTTATTACAAACATGATACACCTACGCTTACTGTCTCATAAAAATGAATTAATGGCTCTAGTCTGTATAGGCTAAACACCAGCTCTTGATTTTTGCAAGTTCTGTGCTTTCAATTTCTTACCAGACTAAGGGCATGTCTTCACTCGCCATGCCAGAGATTGACATTCTGTCGTTTGATTTAGTGGGTTTAATATAGATCCCTATATCAAACACTGGGTGCAGCTCTGACTGGCACCTGTGCTCCTCGTAGTCATGAGAAGTCAGGGGAGCATTTAGTTCCCATTGCTTTCTCACTATGGGAATGTTGCGAAGTTCAATTTAAGGTAAGCCGACTCCTGTTACGTATTCTATTCAGTTGACCTTGCAAGTCCAGTTATACCTGGCCTAAGATGTACAACAACTGGCACGCTGGATAGCACTGTTTTTGTTCTGTGCTTATGTGGTGGTGGACCTGGACCAAGCACAGCAGAATTAGTTAAGACATTGTCTATAAACAGAGACACTATATAGGAAAGGATGGGGGCAAAAAAGAAAGAAACATTGGAACATACCAGAAAGAAAAGGGGAAGATATAATTTAGCACACACATAGAATCATAGAATACTAGGACTGGAAGGGACCTCGAGAGGTCATTGAGTCAAGTCCCCTGCCCCCACAGCAGGACCAAATACTGTCTAGATCATCCCTGATAGACGTTTATCTAACCTACTATTAAATATTTCCAGAGATGGGGATTCCACAACATCTCTGGGCAATTTATTCCAGTGTTTAACTACCCTGACAGTTAGGAACTTTTTCCTAATGTCCAACCTAAACCTCCCTTATTGCAGTTTAAGCCCATTACTTCTTGTTCTATCCTCAGAGGCCAAGATGAACAAGTTTTCTCCCTCCTCCTTATGACACCCTTTTAGATACCTGAAAATGGCTATCATGTCCCCCCCTCAATCTTTTCTTTTCCAAACTAAACAAACCCAATTCTTTCAGCCTTCCTTCATAGGTCACGTTCTCTAGACCTTTAGTCATTCTTGTTGCTCTTCTCTGGACCCTCTCCAATTTCTCCACATCCCTCTTGAAATGCGGTGCCCAGAACTGGACACAATACTCCAACTAAGGCCTAACCAGCACAGAGTAGAGTGGAAGAATGACTTCTCATGTCTTGTTCACAACACACCTGTTATGCATCCCAGAATCATGTTTGCTTTTTTTGCAACAGCATCACACTGTTGACTCATATTCAGCTTGTTGACCATTATAACCCCTAGATCTCTTTCTGCCGTACTCCTTCCTAGACAGTCGCTTCCCATTCCATATGTGTGAAACTGATTGTTCCTCCCTAAGTGGAGCACTTTACATTTGTCTTTATTAAACTTCATCCTGTTTACCTCAGACCATTTCTCCAATTTGTCCAGATCATTTTGAATTATGACCCTATCCTCCAGAACAGTCACAACCCCTCCCAGCGTGGTATCATCTACAAACTTAATAAGCATACTTTCTATGCCAATATCTAAATCGTTGATGAAGATATTGAAGAGAGCCGTTCCCAAAACAGACCCCTGTGGAGCCCCACTAGTTATACCTTTCCAGCAGGATTGTGAACTATTAATAACTACTCTCTGAGTACAGTTATCCAGCCAGTTATGCACCCACCTTATAGTAGCCCCATCTAAATTGTATTTGACTAGTTTATTGATAAGAATATCATGTGAGACCATATCAAATGCCTTACTAAAGTCTAGGTATACCACATCCACCGCTTCTCCCTTATCCACAAGACTCGTTATCCTATCAAAGAAAGCTATCAGATTGGTCTGACAGGATTTATTCTTTACAAATCCATGCTGGCTGTTCCCTATCCTGAAGCATCCACAGGAAAAAAAAATAGGGGGTGCTCAGAACCCACCAGCAAAGATGTTCAGTAGCATTGGACCAGTGCCACAGATTAGCTGTTGGTGGGGCTGCTGATCAGCTGTTTGTCACCTAGGGGAGTGTGGAAAGCAGCAAGTGGCAGGCAGGCGTGGGTGCAGGGAAGGGGATAAAGGAGGGCTCCGGGAAGGGGAGTGAGGGTGTGGTGGAGTGAAGGTGGGGCCTTTGGGTGGTACAAGGGTGGAACCAACACCCCTATGGAAACATACAAGCCGGCACCTTTGTCACAAGGACACTCAGATTGGATCCTCTTCATTATAGAACAGAGGGGCTAGTTAGAAGGACATTCTCTTTGAGGCACTGGGGCTCTGGATCTTGCTCCATCCCGGTGTCCTACGCAGACTGAAATCTGGTAAATGTTCAAGCATGCTACAAAAGATATTTATTTGTTTCAGCAGACTTGACGAAAGCTGAAGGCATGCTTTCTAGAAAAATGCAGGGACAGAAAAGAAGGGAGGGAGAGATTGTGTGTGACTAATTGGCTGCTTTCTACCCAATTGATTGTTTTAGTGCTGCTGAGATTTAATTGTATAAAACAGCAAGTTATAGTGCCTAGAGCCTGGATAGGCATATTTTCGTTATTTAAATAGGAATCAAGAGTGACTAAACTGCTGTTTCAATTAATATTCCTAATGTGCACTGAGGACTGCCAACATCAGTCAAACTAACTGATATTGTTCTCAGAAACAAGAAAGAAGATTATGAACTTTCAGCAAGATCCAAGGAAAGCACTGAAAAAGCAGAATTTATTTCCTTTATCCTGTTATTACTTTTGTTCTTAAGGAGGAAGGTTACAGTGTAAAAACAGAACTTCCCATTTCCAAAGAAAATCTTTAGAGGAAATGATAGCAAATGCTCAGATAGGGTATGTCTAGACTACATGGCTCCATCGACAGAGCCATGTAAATGAGTTTACTAGACATAGGAAAATGAAGCGGCAATTTAAATAATCACTGCTTCATTTACATCAAAATGGCTGCCGCGCTGTGCCGATCAGCTGCTTCGACAAGGGAAGCCTTTATAGAAGAGTTTTACTGGAGCAGTCGACAAAGGCTTCCCTCGCCAACCGCGGCACATCCAGACTGCTCTGCTGTGCCACCAAACAGCTGATCAGCACAGCGCGGCGGCCATTTTGATGTAAATGACGCGGCAATTATTTATGTCTAGTAAACTCATCTACATGGCTCCGTCGACGGAGCCATGTAGTCTAGACATACTGATACAGTAATGAACACACTGTCAATAAATGGTTTGTTAATATAGCCTCTTAGCCGTAGGCCATAGCACACAATATAAAGTAAACACATGTTTTAAAAAACACAGCTAAGTCAGTCTGCGTTTATGCTTCAAATGTACTACATTTATCCCTGAAAACTGGTTATGCCAGGGTCAAGATTAGATCTTAGATCAAGATTTTCCTTCTTATGGAACAAAACCATAAAAATAGACTCTACTAGCAATAACACAACTAAATAAGGAATTTGCTAAACAGCAAATACCAGCCACATTTAGCAAGTCAGGCAATTCCAGCAATTGGAAGGAAAGTAATCAACAGAAGCATATTTGAAAGAGTGCACATCCAACCATGTTTAGGGTAATGGCTAGAGGAAGAATTGCACATTGTGGTGAGTATTTCTATACCACTGAGATAGGTGCCTTCGATATACGATGTCCCATAGGCATGTAAGCATACAGATACATTTCCGAACAGAATAAAGTACTGGTAATTGTGTTTTAATTTTATGTCTGGTCTCTTCTGTGGCTGGTAATGTTGATACAGATTGCATCTCAGTGAACTAGGATTCTCTGATCTGGCAACCAAATCGTGGATGTTCCAGGATCAGGGCATGCTATGGTGGTGGGGGGCAGAAGTGGGAACCTGGCTCAAATGTAAGGGAGGGGAGGGGCAGGAGCCTGGCGCACATCCCAGCTGGGTTAGGAGAGGGGGGAGACTGGGAGCTGGGAAGGCCAGCATGCAGCTCAGCGGGGCTGTGGAGGGTGGTGGGAAGCCTGGCACACAGTTCATCTGGGCTGTTGGGGGAGCTGGGAAGTCCGGTGCATGGCCCAGCTGGGTTAGGGGGGAACAAAAAGCCCAGCACATGACCCAGCTTGGCTGCCAAAGGAGCCAGGAAGCCTGGTGTGGTGGCGGGGCAGGAGATGGGGCCAGTAGCAAGGGGGCCAGAAATGACTTCCCCTAGTCCAGTAACTCACTCATCCGAGTCCAGTCAGGTCCCGAGGTACTGGACCAGGGAGTCTAACCTACACTGGTGTTAACCAAGGGAACTATACGTTTCTGGGTGGCGATTAAGGTGTTCACTATGAACCCTAAAGACCTAAGTGGTCTCGACCTGGTCTTGTTCCCTACTGTGACTGGCCTCTGAACCTCTGCAAGAGGAACAGGGAAGTAACGGGTGAAGAAATTTCTAGTATAGTCTCCTGCTCATGTATTTACAGAGGAACTCAGGACCTATACATGTTTTTATAAAGAGAGGAAATTCACAGGGTTAGTGATGGTTACTCTAGTTCACTGAGGAACAGAAGGTTCTGCTGATGTCAGGAGGTTAATGAAATGAGTGAAGCACAATTCCAGTTACTCCCAACAGATTGGAAGTGGTGGTGCATTGAAAGGCCACCTTGGGAGGAAGTCAACAGAGAGCTCTTGCAGCATGCAGCGGGGGGATGGTGCGCTGGTTCTCCTGTTCTAATCTCTGAATCTTATTCATGCTCCCCACTGACTCTCTTTGCTGGGTGAGTGGGGCTGACGCATTTTGTCTTTGCCTCATCCTGGGACTCCTGCTAGTAGTTTATCATCTACTTCAGTGGTTTCCAACCTGCAGTCCAGAGATTCCCAGGGAGAGGGTCATGGTTCAAAGACTTTGCCCTTACCACAGAACAGTGGATTTCAAACTGAGGGTCCATGGACCTTTGGAAGACCACAGACTATATCTAAGATTTCCAAAGGAGTCTGCATCTTCATTTTAAATGTTTGAGGGATACACAAACAGGTTAAAAGGTTGCAAACCACTGCTCTACATAGTATGGGTTCTTATTTAAGGAGAGACTTGAAAAGTTTAAGAATTTGAGTTATCCCTGTTTGCTATATAAAAAGTGGTCTTTTTGGTTTCCTAGTCTTCTAAAAAAAATCCTCTGGCTTTCTATATTAGAAACTTCAGGTCTTGTGTCCTAGAAGACAATATAGCAACCACGGAACTGACGACTTCACAAATCTGGAAAGGGACATATTTGATCACAAAACATTTCCAATCAAATAATTTAGTAGGTTTAAAAATCTTGGTGGTTGTTTTTTTCTTGCGAACATCCATTCAGCCTGAAGAACTGAGAAAGGGTTTATTTGTTCTACACGGATTACCTCCCTCTTAAATCTGAGCCCTCTGACAAGTCTTGCAAAGCTAGACTTTATATGCCTGATAACTCCAAAGTTTTTTTAAAAAAGCAAATGGAAGCTCAACCCCACATCCGCTCTCTCTCCATGTCTTCTTTACACCAAAAAGAAGCAAATGGGTGAAGTTGCTTTCCCCTTCCTATCATTGCTAAATAAAAAGATCATTATACCATATACATATTTGCTAGATCTAGATATATATACTGTCTTACAGCAGCTTCACCCCACACTCTCCTATTTACAAATTCTGATGGACAGATGGAATTACCACAACATGTGCAAATTACAATTGCAACAGATTTCAACCCCACAGATTTTCAGACACATGCAAATTGGTGCGTCATGGACTGAAATTAAATTAAGTTAAAATCTATTGTTCTTTGAAAGATCACTATTTTTTTTTAACTCCCACAGTCAGTTGTGTTATTTATGGGTTTTTTGGAATAATCAATTATAGATTTAAAGAGTTTAAGGCCAGAAGGGACCATTACTTCATTGTCGTTTGACTACCTGTGAATCACAGACCATTAAACTGCAAGTAACCCTGTACTAAGCCCAGTAATTTGTATCTGGCTATTAAAGCTTACCTTTTAATAATGCATCTGGTCTAGATTTGTTTAAAGACAGAGAATCCCATCACTGCCCTTGGTAGTTAGTTCCAGTGGTAAATCACCCTCACTATTAAAAACCTGTGCTTTTTTTTAATATGTTGGGCTTCAACATCTAGACTTTGGTTCTTGTTAAGGCTTTCTCCACTAGACCAAAAGTACCCATGGTGTTTTCTCTTTGTGGAGTAAATAAGATGCAGTCAAATGGATAACTTCTCTTTAACCAACTCCTGAAGAAAAAAAATTTAGGACAGACTGGCAGCTGGTATAAATTGGTGTAACACCCTTGACCTCAGTAGAGCAAACATCAAAAGAGATCAGCTGAGTATCTGGCCTTCTGTTAATTAAGAAAAAAATCTATACAATTATTACCACACCACTCTCATAATTACATAGTTTTATGTGCAAAACTGTTTTACACACTTTGTTACATTTGCAACAAATCAAGAGCACAGAGAGCTGTTTTAAAGCATTATCTATGTTGCAGTTCTGAGAGTGCTAAGTTGGATGCTCAAATGAATGCTTTGAGGGGTGCTAACAAATCACCAGCCCTAACCCTGCAAGAAACAGATGTTTGTAGCTGATCTCTGATATAAGTACATTTACACAAATACTTCACATTTTCTACCTCTAAAAACGGTATGAGTGGCTAGCTTAAACAGCTATATCCTGCCAGCTAGACTGGATTTCACCCAGGATTGATGAGATTACCTGCAGCCTTAGGTTGTTTTTAACAGTTGTCAAACATCTCTCCCCCCTCCCCATTATGCTTTTCATAAACATCAGTCACCCCCTTCTCCTCCTACCCACCAGAGCTACAGCTGCAAAAGGAAACTTGCAGACTATAATATTGGTAGTGCTCTTTGCGGCGATTCCAGACACAGAGTAGCCCTTCTCTGAGGAAAATCTATGCCTGTTATTTCAACTTCCCTGCCATAAAGGAGATTGGATTACCAGCTCCTTGCTTTCCTCCTCATCGACTTCTCCTTGGGAAAAACTGTAGGTTGGAAACAGTTAGGAAGCGTTGAAACGAAATGCTGCTCCGCTCTCTCCAGGGAAGCGTTGTGGCTGGAGAACTTGTAGTTAGCTGATGAGTCTGTCCCCAAGGAGCAGAATAATGTATGTTTTCCAGCTGTGTCAGCTGCTGCTGCTGCTCCTAGTGTGGGAGTGGAAGAGCTGTGCCTGTGTTAGAATGACTGATTCCTGTGCAGATCCCGTCAGGCTCTCAGATGATTCCTCGAACTGGGTAGCTGAGAGCCTGGACACCTATTCAACCCTCCCCTACCCGACTTCTGATTGGGAGGAGAGGGGGAGGACTCAAAACACTTCAGGGGATAAATACATCCTCCTTACTCAGGTGCTTTCTCATTTGTACTGGAGAAATACTAAATGCCTTGTATAAATAGCTTACAATATTGTAAAGACTTTATTTCTAATGACTCAGGAACTTAATAGGAAAAGCTTTAGGGGGTAGCCGAGTTAGTATGTACAGGATAAGCTTTAAAAAACCTGATGGTCTGGTAGCACTTTATAGACTAACAAAGCATGTAGATGGTATCATGAGCTTTTGTGAAGTGGGCTGTGCCCACAAAAGTTCATGATATCATCTACGTGTTTTGATAGTCTATAAAATGCTACCAGACCATTTGTTGTTTTTTAAGTTCATAGGAAACACATTGCCAAAGGGAAAACATTTATTTCCTGAAAATACATCTTGGGATATCTTGGAGCATCTCTTAAAAAGACAACAATACCAAAGGTTTTTAAAGATCAATTGAGAAAACTAATTTCCCTGTTATTCCAGGTTTTAGAAGAATGTCCGAAGGGAAACTCAACTACTTTCAAAATGTAATATAAATTAAAATAAAAAAAAGTCTGTGTGTGTTTGAGAGAGACCGGTGTGATGTGGGAAGGATGATGATATTGAACAAACATTCTTCATGCCTCTGTATAAATCCATGGAGCCAGTCTTTGGACAGGACACTGCCCCCTGTTAATTTCTGGGCTCAAGGGATTACGTGGGGTGGAGAGGCAACAAGGGTGAGGCCCTGTACACTCATCACAGCAGTGGGAACCAGAGCTACCGGGCAGTGTGCTCCACTCCCACTGTCCCCTGCTTCACCGTAGCAGCAGGAAACAGAGTGCCATGGCCATGGCCACAGCCTGCTCCTCCGAGCCCTCCCTTGCTCTGGGAACAGAGCTAAAGTGCTCCACTTCCTGCTGCCATGGTGAAGCAGAGTGCAGCAGGCTGGGAGGGCAGTGGAGCAGAGTAGGCTGCTGGATCACTTTGGCTCCCGCCACCATTGTGACCCAACCCCTGTTGCTGTCCCACCCCAGGCTCTCTGGTAATACCCCAGCTTGTGTAGGGTGGGGGGGGGGGAGGAGTTCATTGGAGACAGAGCAGGGGCAGGAAGAGGCAGGGCATGAGGAGGGGGTAGAGTCCATGGGTGACTATGTGTGTGTGTGTATGAACTGGAAAGGATCCAAAGAAGGAAAACAAAGGATTAAGGATATGGAACAGTTTGGCACTGTTGTGCTTGGAAAAGAGGCAACTAAGGAAGGGATTTGACCGAGATCTATAAAATGTTTACTGGTGTGGAGAAAGTGAATAAGGAAAAGTTATTTACTCCTGCACATAACACAAGACTTGAGGGTCACCCAATAAAATTAATAGGCAGCAAGTCTAAAACAAACAAAAGGAAGTACTTCTCCAGTGTGGAACTCACTGCCAGGAGTTGTTGTGAAGGCCAAAACTATAATAGTGCTTAAAAAAGAACTAGAAAAGTTCACAGAAGTGCATGAATGGCTGTTAGCCAGGATGGGTAAAGATATAACCCCATGACCTGAATGTGACAGTGTCCCTAGTAGCCTCCGTTTGCCAGAAGCAGAGAAGAGGGGATGGATCACTTAATGCCTGCTTATAATATCTGGCATTGGCTACTGTCAGAGGACAGGATCCTGGGTGAGATGGACCATTGGTTGACCGGCTATTACTGTTCTTATGATCTTTCAAAATTTGGCATTAGGAATATCTTGCCCTGTTATTTCCTATTTGATCTAAATTTACATATACATTTAAAATGTGGCTTTAACTTGAGTTTGTGTGTATATATTTTTTTATATACCCATTTTCTAAGTTCTCCCCCCTCCTCCCCCTAAAAAATCCTAGAATTTTCAGGTGCCTCAGAAAGTCCAAAATCACAGTTCAATTTGCCTTCTCCCTCTCCCAAAATATCTGAAATAGCCCCTGAAGTCCTGGAGCATTAGAGAAATGAGCCCTGGTCTATATCAGTGCCTCATCTGTTCTGAAGTGGACAGGAAAAGGCAATTGCTTAGGGTGTTGTGAGCTGACAGGATGGAGAGCCACCTGCTCCTGGGAAGTAGTGAGCAAGCCAAGGGAAGCAGCTGCCTAAGGAGATAGCAAGAAGCAACATGAAAAGGTTAGGGCTGCCAACTCTTTAATCACATAAAACCAAACCCTGCCCTGACTTTATCCTGTGGCCCACCCACCTTCTGAGAGGCCCTGCATCCACTCACTACATCCCTCCTCCTGCCCGTGCTCATTTTTCTCCACCCTCACTCATTTTCACTGGGCTGGAGGGGAGGTTGGAGTGTGAGAGGGCAGGAGGGCTCCAGCTGGGCATGTGGTCTCTAGGTTGGGGCTTGGGATTAGGGATGCAGGAGGGGGCTCTGGGCAGAGGCTGGGGGGTTTGGAGAGTGGGAGTGGGCTCAGGGCTTTGTTGGTGTGCAGGAAGGGATGTGGGCACCATTACCCAAGGATGAGGGTTTTGAGGTGTAGGAGGGGTTTTTCCTGGCAGGGCAGGGGATTGGGTGCCTGAGGGGGTACAGGTTCTGGCAAGAGATGTGGGCTCCCCAGGAGGGCCAAGCATGAGGGGTTTGATGTTTAGGAGGGGGCTTAGGGCTGGAACAGGGAGTTTGGGTGTGGGAAGGGGTGTAGAGTGCAGACCCTGGGAAATGGTTCAGGACTTGGGTCAGTGTTGCAGGCTCCAAAGAGAGTTTGGGTGTAGGATGGGGCTTTGGGTTAAGCTGTAGGAGGGAGCTCTGGGCTAGGTTATGGGATTGGGGTGTGGTAGTTTGGGGTGCAGAGCCTATGGGAAATGGCTGTGACCTGCAGGAGGGAGACTGGGGTGCAGATTCCAGCCCAATGCTCTTACTCTTGGTCAGCATCACAGCAGGACTAACGCAGGCTCCCTACCTATCCAGGCACTGTGTGGCTAATATGTCTGGCTCATAGGCAGAGGCGCACAACCAGATAGCTCTAATGCACTTCCCCTGCAGCTCCCATTGGCTGCAGTTCCTAGCCAATGGGAGCTGTGGAGCTGGTGCTGGTGGCAGTTTCCCTGATCGCCCTTGTGCCTAGGAGCCACAGCAACATGTTGCCACTTCTGGGAGCTGCCTTAGCCCCACTGCACTGACAACCAGAATTTTAACAGCTCAATCAGTGGTGCTGACCAGAGCTACCAGGATCACTTTTCAATTAGGTGTTCTGGTGGAAAACCAGACAACCCTGAAAGGACCAATCTAGTTTTCCCTTGAAAAACAATCATTTTAAAATCTTTTGTACATTCTGGAACAAGCCGGGGTTTTTTTTCAAAAAAATGAAATTTTTCACAGGAGGGAAATTCTTTCTTCTGGCCAGCTCCTGAATTTACATTTAGCAATTAGCTAACTGCTTTAAGTTGAGGTTTTAGCTCAGAGTGAACAAAGGCAGAGGTCAGTGAGGTGAAGGTTTACAGATCCCGAAGTGACTCAGCTGGGAATAAAAATAAAGGGAAATTAATACTTTATTTGCTTTTCTCAAAATCCATCAATACTTTGAATACAGCCTGCATGAATTTCCTGTTGGACCAGTGAAAGTGCTGAGTTTAATGCTCCGAGCTAAAAGGCCCAACAAAGGTTGAAATATTTGGATAAGGACTAAACACTCATTGTTTCTCAAGCTCTGAAGAAACCCTGTTGACACACATTCCATTTTAGTCTGAGTATTTGTGTCCAGTTTAAGGATGTTGAATGTCAACTAACTGACTAATCAAATAGTTGATGTATTTTGCATCAACTATTCAATTAGTTGATAGGGTGCCTCCAAGGCGAAAATGCTACGTGGAGCCCAGGGTGAGCTGGGGACTCCGGTGCTGCTGCTTTGAAATACCATGTGCATTCTGGGGATACCCCAGCTGGCTTTAAGCAGTGCTGCCACTTTGAAGTACCCCATTCTCTCCCCCCTCCCTTTCTGATAGAGGCAGCAAGGGTCGGGGAAGTGACTAGTCGACTAGCCTGTTGACTATCCAATAAGCATTTGTTTATCGGATAGTCAACTAGTCCTTCACATTCCTAGACCAGTTTTTAGCATTGCTTTTTACAGCAGATAATAGCATAGGGAAGTGTTAAACTTACTTTGAGGTGTGATGAACCTTTCTTTTTTCAAAGCATCATGCAGGAAAGTATGTTTGAAGCACTGACACAGTGCTTTGTCTTTCTACTTCATCCCACAGAGAGCAATAGGAAGATGCCTTCAACCTTTTGGCACTGAAATACACTTTTTTCCTGATAGGTTCCAGGATTTTCATTCCATTTAACTTGCTGTAGGTGAAATGCTGTATATTAAAATATCCTTTGACCTTCTGCCAGGTTACTTGTAAGACTTTAAAGGAGCACAGAGTCATATTTCAGCATCGTATCTTCACCTAGGGTTGCTGGACCCTGGAATCAAACTGAAAAGAAGGATCACACACAGAGAGAAAAGCATGTCCAGGCAAGAAATCTCTACAACAGCCATGGAACACCAGGCCGTTCGTATTTTACACAATGTCAGCACAAAAATCTCCATGGTATGAATTTGTTACATAACACGTACAATTCTAGGGGCATGTCTAGATTGCCCACGACTTTTGAAAGAAGATATGCATATTTGGCATGAATTTGTATATCTTTTTCCGATCCCATTTTTGGAAGAGTTTTTTTCTGGAAGAAAAAAAAAAGCAACCTAGATGTGATTCTTTCAAGAAAAAACTTTTTTTTGAAAGAACCCTTCTTCCTAAAAGAATGAAGTGGACAGAGTTCTTTCAAAAAAGGCTTTCTTTCCCCAAAAGAACTGTGTCTAGATTGCTTTTATTTTTTTTAAAAAAACTCTTCCGAAAACAGGATCGAAAAAATACGCAAATTCATGTCAAATTTGCATATCTTCTTTTGAAAGCCGCAGGTAGTCTAGACATGCCCTAGGTGTCTGGGCAATTTGTGTGTTACATTCCTCCTAGTGATGTGGTGTATGGATAAGGGGAGAAGAAAATATTCATACAGTCCAAGTTCATAGTGTTACACAGACACTAGACCAGTGTTTCTTAAACTGTGTTCCGTGGCACACCGGTGTGCCACGGAGAACAACAGAGTTCAAAATACAGGCAAAGACAGGCAACTCAAAAAAACTTCCCCCCCACCCCCCCCCCCTTTTTTTTTTTTTTTTTTTTGCTCAACAAAAAATCCTTAGTGTTCCTTATTTAAAAAAATAATGTTTGGTGTTCCTCCATCTTAAAGAGTTTAAGAAACACTGCACTAGACTGCTACTTCTGATTCTTGTTTTAGGCAAGAAATAGACTATGAAGAAGCTAGTAAATAGCCTCCTAGAAAACACACCTTGCATGTCCCTAATCTTTTTTCCTGCCCTTTTCCTCCGCATTACAGACATCCCTATTTACAAAAGACAAAAAAGTCAGCTACAAAGATTCTGCACAGGCATTAAGTGTGGCAGATATGACAGAGACGTTCACAGACACAGAGGCACTCTAGCTAGGAATAAACCCAATAGCTACCAAATGAAAAATCTTAACTGAAATTCCCTCTTGGACATGAAATAATTAAACTGAGGTAAGATTAGACCAGCTCCTTTGCCAAATGGAAGCAGTTTCCTGCATCTCTTGCCTTTGAATTAAGGTTACTGGCTGGGAGGCCTAGCTGCACCCCATAAGCTAAGGTCAGCTATAGCTTCACTTCCAGATCCTTGCCCCATGGACCCAATTAGAATATAAGGGTCATTTCTCTTCTAACAGAAATAGGGGCAGCAGCATGGGCCCCCTGTTCACACCTCAAGGAGCATCAGCAGAGAAGTCCCAGTCTTTATCCCAGCATCCGGGTTACATCTGCTCATTTGGGCCAAGCCTGCTGTACCATGTTCAGAAGTCTCCCAGCACAGCATGTCTTGAAGTTAACACCCCATTGGGCTGCATGGGCCAGTTCACAGGCTGAGTTCTCATTTCAGGTTTTCTATAAATTCAGGCTGATAGTTTGGATTCTTCCCTGACTAAGCAGTAGTGATCTGTGGGACAGTGTAGGGGATATGACAGTGGCCAGTCCCAAGCTTGGTTTTATGAACACTATGGGTATGTCTAGATTACAATGCTATAGCTATTCCACGTCTTTTAAACCAGCCCATTATTTCAAAATAATGGGCTTGCTATTCCAGTGGTCCCCAACGCAGCGCCCGCTGGCACCATGGTGCCCGCCGGGCCATTCCTGTGCGCCCGCCAACTGATCAGGGCTGGCCCCGCCCCCTGGCGTGCAGCACTTGGGCAGCCCCGCCCCTGGGTGCGCGGTGCATGGGCTGTGCCGGCCCCGGGAGCGCAGCGTATGGGCTTCCCTGCCCCTGGGCACGCGGCACAGGAGCAGCGCTGGCCCCAGGTGTGCGGCACATGGGCACTGCCAGCTCCTGGATGCGCGGCACAGGAGCAGTGCCGGTCCCAGGCATACAGCGCATGGGCTGTTCCGGCCCCAGGCACGTGGCGTATGGGTGGCCCTGCCCCTGGGCGTGCAGCACAGGAGCAGTGTCAGCCCCAGGCGCATGGCGTACAGGCAGCTCCACCCCTGGGCGTGCAGCACAGGAGTGGCGCCGGCCCCAGGAGTGCGGCACATAGGTGGCGCCAGCACCTGGCATGCGGCGCGTGTGCGGCCCTGCCCCTGGGCGTGCAGCACAGGAGTGGCGCCGGCCCCAGGAGTGCGGCACATAGGTGGCGCCAGCACCTGGCATGCGGCGCGTGTGCGGCCCTGCCCCTGGGCGCATGTGCGGTCCCACCGCCAGGTGCCCGGTGCGTGAAAGGCCCCGTCCCCGGGCGCCCAGCAGCCCCAAAAGGTTGGGGACCACTGCGCTATTCTGATGCCCCTGTTACCCTCATCCAATGAGGATTAAGAGACATTTCAGAATAGCAGTTTATTTTGAAACTTGGTGCTATGTAGACAGCACCAAATTTCAAAATAAACGATTTCAAAATTAGATCAAATTAAGATACACAATTTGCGTAGCTCAAATTGTGTTTCTTATTCCAAAATAAGGGTGTAGTGTTGACACAGCCATATATTTGTACTTGTAACTGACAACATGGATTAGAATCTTATTTTGTAACAGGAACAGACTGTGTCTCGAAAACTAAATCAGGACCATCAAAAGTGTATTGTTCTTTCCCCAGCTGCTGCCAACAGACTTTTAAAAACTCTTTCCACTAATCACACAGTGGGATTGGATCTTGGAAAATCCTTACTGGAAGAAGAGACACAGAAAGAGCATCAGAGCCAGCTTTTTAAAAAATAAACTCTGTGAGCAACACAGCTAGCCCATCATAAGAAAAAGAAGACACAACTGGAGGACTAGTGTGAAGGCAGGTGGGGCTCTGCTTCATAGAATCAAAGAGTGGGAAGAGACCTCAGGGGTCATTGAGTCCAATCCTCTGCTAAAAGCAGGACCAATTCCAACTAAATCATCTCAGCCAGGACTTTGTCACACTGGAACTTAAAAGTCTCTAGGGATGGAGATTCCACCACCTCCCTAGGTAACCCATTCCAGTGCTTCACCACCCTCCTAGTGAAATAGTCTTTCCTAATATCCAACCTAGACCTCTCTCACTGCAACATGAGACCATTGCTCCTTGTTCTGCCATCTGTCACCACTGAGAACAGCCTAACTCCATTCACTTTGGAACTCTCCTTCAGGAAGATTAAGGCTACTATCAAATCCCCCCCTCACTCTTCTTTTCTACAGATTAAATAAACCCAAATCCCTCAACTGCTCCTCGTAAGTCACATGATCCAGCCTCCTAATCATTTTTGTTGCCCTACACTGGTCTTTCTCCAATGTGTCCACATCCTTTCTGTAATGAGGGCCCAGAACTGGACACAGCACTCCAGATGAGGCCTTACCAGTGCCAAATAAAAGGGAATAATCATCTCCCTAGATCTACTGGCAATTCTCCTACTAATGCACCCCAATATGTCATTAGCCTTCTTGCCTATGTGGGCACACTTTTGACTCATAACCAGCTTTTCATCCATAGTAATCCCAGGATCGATGTTGGATTGCCTCAGGCACTGATGGCTCAAAGACTGGTTTAAACTGGATTTTCCCACCAAGTGGCCACAAGAGTGCTATTCTCAGACTTTTCCTGCCTATGGGGCTGTGAGGGGGTTCGCACTCACCACCGTATCCCCCTGCCGTCTGTCTTCCGGAATTGGCTCCCTTGGCAGGTGGGGTGCCTTCTCTGGGGTGGGGTCTCCCCTCTTTACTCCTGGCTGCAGCGTCCTCTTCGCCACACTGCCCTCCGGCAGTGCCCAAGACTGTCTCTGAGCCCCCCTTCCGGGGGTTGATGTTCCTCCAGCGGGCCTTCCTTCAAGCCCTGCAGTCTGAGGATTTGCAGGCCAGAGCTCCCCTAGCCCTGCCTGGCCTCCCCAGCCCTGCCCTAGCTCCAGGGAACCTCCTCCTCCCTCAGCAGCCAGGTTCTCACTGCCTCCCTTCACAGCAGCAGCCCATTCTCTATTATAGCGCCCAGCTGGCCCTTAATGGGCTAGTACAGCCTCAGCTGGGCTAACTTCCCCAGCCCTGGTTCAGGCCGGGGTCTGCCCTTAAAGGGCCAGTGCAGGGCGAGCGCCCTGTCACAGGGGCGTATAAGAGGACCATGTTACCTCAGCTTCAGGACTGTTCACCATAGTGGCAGTAGTATGTTCTACCATCTGACAACGAGGGTCAATTCCTGTTGTGTCTGCATGGGAGGAAAAGAGAGGGTTACCATCCCACTGACCTACCTGTACCATCACCAGCCTGTGACTCTCCTTCTACCACTGGTCCGGGACAGAAACATCATGGGACTTCCCAGTGATCCTTCTCAAGGGCTCTAAATCAGCCTCAAGGTAGAAGGTCCTGGAAGCCTCCACCATCACCACTGTCAAGTCCCATGGAACAGAAAGTCATGGTAATTTTAGGGGTTTGATTACCATTTTAATTACAGAAGCCAAGGGTTTGATTAAGTGGACCTGGGTCTGTTTGTCACCGTCACTATCACTGGTTTTATTTGTATTTGTTATATCTGCATCGGGTTATCTCCCCATTTTTCCCTCTTTCTTGTAATCAATCCCTAAACAACACACTGCCTGTCTGCAGCTAGATGTTGTCTCTTTCCTTATTACACCTACACCGGAGGGAGGGGACAGAGGAGAAAGGGTCCTACTTTGGCACATCTAATTAATTTTCAGGTGATAGTCCCCGATAGAGGAGCCAACCCTTCAGAAAAGGGGACTAGGCAGCTTATTAACCGTGCATTTCCTACCTACACTCTTGGGATAAGAGGAGCTGGTTATGGGGTTCTTCACTGAGGAGCTGGCCTTCGATTTCCAGAGGTAGAACCAGCAACTGGATGCTGCCCAGAGTCAGTTGGCTTGATAGCAAATGGGATTCCCAAGGATGGTGGCAATTAATGCAGTCAAGTGCCTGCCCACCAGTAAGCTCAGCTAGGGCTATGAAAATACCTAATGGAGAAGCTAAGCTGCCTGCTCCTTGTTTCTTTTTGCTTGCATGAGTCTCCCCCTCTCTTTAAAAGACAAATGGTAACAAATGGCCCTAGTTATTGATCTTCTTTGTCTTGTTTAATCTGTTTTTATATCATGTCACAATGTTAACTGCCGGGGATGTGCCAATCAGAGGGAGAGAATCGCTAGGTTAGAAAGTTCAGACTCTGACATAACTGCCATGACTCTCCAGCCAAACAAATTGTAGGGAGACTGGTGTGGGGATGTTGCCAGTATACAGGAATTGAGATCTGAAGCTCTTGCCTTCTGTCAATCTCTTGTGCATGTCTCCTTCTCTGAAAAGAGAAAACAGGGCTGTCCTTAGGATTTATGGGGCCCAATGCAGTATTGTCAAACTGATATTCCTATACCCAATGGCAGCCCAGAAGGGGGGGAATTTTTAGAGATGTAATTTTATAATCTTCAGTCACATACTAATGAAATATTTTTTTAAACAGATTTTAAACAAACAGTACATTCCAAAGGTGACAGTATGTACCTGGGGTTGAGAATGTGGACAATTAGCAGCTAACATGAAAATCAAGAATTCTGAACTGTGAGAAACTCTCGCTCTCATCTTGCTTGACAAGACTCTCCCATCTATGCATTCTCTTCTCCCCTCTCCTCTTGTTATATGTTGGTTATTCTCATCTCTCTCTGGGGATGAATCACCTAGTGCAGTGTTTTCCAATTTTATTTGGCCATGGAACCCTTTTAAACTTGAAAGAATTTTGTGGAACCCCTAATAACAGTCTTATATATGGAGCTGAAAAAGTAGACCACAAATAATTAAGGCTAATAATAAACAAATGGTAACAAGGTTATGAGATCAATATTTAGTTTAATTGCACATATTTTAAAACAAAAATCATATAATATTAATTATTATTTTTAAAAACATAACAACATTATTGTAATGGATTTTTCTCTCAGAACCCTTTTTTTCACTTCATGGAACCCCAGAGTTCTACAGAACACCATTCGGGAAACACTGACCTAGTGCTTCCTCTAATCCATTTGTATAAAAGTATGAGAATCAAATGCCATGCCTACTCACTGTGACTAGAACTCCAAGCAAGCAGAATCCCAGAGCTGTCATAGTCAGAATTCAGGCCACCAAAATCTCTCTTCTTTAACCCCCAGGAAAAGAGTCTCTTTCTATGGGGGGAAAAAAAAACCTAGAGGTTTAGCACTTTTGCACCATTCCTTAGTGACCAATCTTTAGACATTCAACACGAATGCTGAGCTACGGTTCCACACACACTCCCAAGTCCCAGCCATGCTTTTTGATTGCTACTTCTGTCACTGTAACCAACAGTTGCTAGCAGGGTCTATCACTAAGGAGGGAGTGGAAGGGGATATTCAGTCATTTATCAGCTGCACCAGCCCTGGGCTTTGGTCAGCACAAACTGACTAGCCACAAAATGTCAGCCCCCTCCGCTCAGCTTTGCCCAACACCTGTTTCCAAGCACTGCTATAGATTTCTGTTGTACTGACACTGTTCACTCTGGCCCTCCCATAGACAGACACAACCCTTCCTTACACTTCAGGATGGTTTGATTCTCAGATAGCCAAGTACAAGGCAATCTGTTATTTCCTGGGCTTGCACACTTGTTTATAGCAGAGGTTCTCAACCTTTTCTTTTTCACCCCTCCCTCTCTCCCCCAACATGCTAGAAAAGCTCCATGACTCACCTGTGCCAGAACAACTGATTTTCTGCATATAAAAGGCAGGGCTGGGGATAGGTCATTGCAAGTTGAGCAATTGCCTGGGACCCCTACAACGCTACATTCCTCAGGCTTGACCTTCAGCCCCAGATGGCAGGGCTCAGGGCCCTGGGCTTTAGCTTTCTACCTTTGGTCCCAGTGACACTAATGCTGGCTCTACTAAGTGCCCCCTCCCCCAAAACTTGCTCATACCCTCCAGGGGCCCTGGATCCCTGGTTGAGAACCATTCCTGCCTAGTGTTAGGCCCTAGAAAATTAGGCCTAGTTCAGTTATGCTAAAGCAAATGTATCAAAGATTTCTGGGTAGTCCTTGGGCAGAACTGATGGGTTCAGGCAGGGACGCACCCTACACGCTTGCTCAGGTTGCAAAAATAAGATAACTAAGAAGCTGCATTCTTGTACCTGCTAAGATGAGGAACAGTTTGTTTTAAAAACTGATAAAAAAACTCTTCCCCTGTTTGTTCCAAACTCCCTGTTTATGTTCTCCTTTTGGCCATAACAAACTGTCTCCTTGTAGCCCAGTACCTGTCTTTTGGGCTGATAAGAAATTGCTGATGCATTATGAATTGCTTAAGGCCATAATGTATAGTTGGCCAGGTGTGCATGAATACTAAAAGTTTCTAACTGATAAAGGAGGGTGGGTTGCTTGGGCAAATAGTCTATATCGCAATGGAACTGTCTATATAAGCCTACCTGTTGTTAAAATCGTGGCTGGTTCTCTTTGGAGAAGGGCCGCTCTCTATTGTAGTGTGCACTATTCAATAAAGAGCTTGTGATTGGATCTTGCTGGTGTTGCCTGTTTCTTTGCGGTCAGACAACGAACAAAGGCCATCCGGGTTCAAGTCCCCGACACTAGCAACATAAGCACCTCTACTACTGTACTCATTCCTGTGGCAACTCTACCTACTGGCTCAAATTTTGCACCATTCCATGTGTGGCAATTAATGCAAATGGTTACAAATTCTGCAGCAAAATGATATGAATGGAAAATGAAATTTCTGCCAGATTTTTTCCCATGGAGAATGCAAGTGTTGCCACAAATATTGATTTTCCATCAGGAAAACCAAAACAGAATATTTCAGTTTCTTGTACTCACCTGCAACAATTTCTTTCCAATCACTGCAGAATTAAGCAATCTCCTGATGTTGCTCCTCCTCTCAACTGCTCCTGCCCCACTACAATCCAACAGTGGTGCAGAGAGACAAGCAACAAAAGATAAACATAACCACTTAGCTGGGTATAGAACAGGCTCTACAGCTGGATGGGGTCAGAGGGTTCTGGGGTTGGAGGTAGAGGGATGTGCAGTGACAGGGTCAGTGAGTGAATGGGTTGGTGGACAGGTAACAGTTATTTGTATATCTGCATATCCACGTTCTCAACGTGAAAGAATCAATGGACACAAATCGGATATACGAAAATACTCAGAAGCCAGTGGCAGAACATTTCTATTTCCCTAACCATAATCTCACAGATCTGAAGGTGGCTTTCTTGTCACAGGCCAGCTCCTCAAGCCAAATCCACAGGGAAAGCAAATTCAATTAAATTACTTATGGACTTAATCAATATATGGCGTGGTGGAGCCTTTATCACTAAAGGTACTAACAACTTTCTGAATGGTATGCTTCCTGCCTTAGCAATCCATCCACTGACTTTGATCTTTATCTACTCAAGTTTAGCACCCTTTCTCCTGATACTTTATGTATGGGGGGGGGGAGGTGGTGGACCCCCCTCACCCTCCTCCCCCCGCTTCCCTTCTCCTATTTATTTCAAGTTTTCTTATCCTCTAGTCATAACTCCAGTCATCTGAAGAAGTGGGTTGTGCCCACGAAAGCTCATGATACCATCTACATGTTTTGTTAGTCTATAAAGTGCTATCAGACCATTTGCTTGCTGTTTTTTTCTGTAACAGACTAACTTGGCTACCCCCTGAAGCTCCTGCATATTCATTCTTTGTATAATGACTATGCAGCTATGCAAATAATATGTTACCAGTCCACCAAACGTTTGTGAATGGATTTGCCAGTCTATAGTATAAAAAAGCTTGGGAACCACTGACATAGACTGGTCTGTTAGGATTGGTGTTTGTGTGGCAAGATTCTAATGAAGACACGTCAGTGGGTAGTTTTCACCTGCATTAGCAAGTTGAGGATGGGAGCGTAGTGTTTACTTTGATATGTGGAAACTCAAAGGGTACGTCTAGATTACATCCCTCTGCCGACAGAGGCATGTAATAGGCTACCTGACATAGTCAGTGAAGCGGGGATTTAAATCTCCCCGGCTTCATTTAAAAAAAAAATGGCCGCCGCGCAGTGCCGGCTCAGCTGATCGTTGGCACAGCGCGTGAGTCAAGATGCGGATCGGTCGACAAGGGAAGCCTTTGTTGACTGATCCCTTATGCCTTGTGAAACGAGGTTTACAGGATCAGTCGACAAAGGCTTCCCTTGTTGATCGATCCACATCTTGACTCGTGCGCTGTGCCGGCGATCAGCTGAGCCGGTACAGCATGGCGGCCATTTTTATTTTAATGAAGCCGGGGATATTTAAATCTCTGCTTCATTGACTATGTCGGGTAGTCTACTTTACATGCCTTGGTCGGCAGAGGGATTTAATCTAGACGTACCCAAACTGCGTTGTTTTTGCTAGGTGTTTACTTCAAATTACCTAATACAAGCTCATGCAACTAAGAGCACACCTTTTCTCCTAGGAAAAACTAGGCCTTACAGAATAGCCCCACTATGCAGACACCCTCAGCCTAAACTCAAAGAGTTCAGAACGGAAGAGTTCTTGCGCAAAAAGTGTTCTACAAGAGCGGGTCTACACTGGCATTTGCTTTTGCTCAAGAGATGTGCTTTTGCACAAGAGAGTCTATGGCAGTGTGGACACTCTCTTGCACAGGAAAGCTCTGATGACCATTTTAGCCAGAGAGGTTTCTTTCGCAAGAAATTCATGTTGCCTGTCTACACTGCCCTCTTGTGCAAGAGCTCTTGCGCAAGAGGGCTTATTCCTTGTGAGGAATAACTCTTCCGGAAGAAGCCCTGTTTTCCGATGCTAAATTTAAATTTACTTGTGCAAGAACGCACGTGCAGTGTAGACACCCGGCAAGTTTTTGCACAAGAAGAGCTGTTCTTGTGCAAGAAGCCACCAGTGTAGACGCAGCCTTAATGTTGTGCCCTCCCACCACGCAGGAAACTGATGCTACTACAATTTGATGGGTTTGGTCACAGAGATCCCTTTGAGAGTATCACCTGATATTCTAAAATACCACTGGGCCAGACGACTTGCCCCCTGGGATACTCCACTATCCTGTTTTGCTTAGCCAGACCCTCCTGTCTTCAGTGATGACACAGAGTTGGAGTCACAGCCTACAGCAGAGCAACGCAGACACTGAGATCAGATCAGCTCTGGGAAGGCTCAGTCACAGGGACTTGACAGATCAGCTAGATGCACAGCTCCAGTGGGATCAGACCCCCAGATAAATCTGTTATACTCTGTATAAAATGTACATACAGCAAGCTCATAATTTGTTTGTCCCCTTTATCAATGAAAGAGAACTATGTGGATGCTGTTGTCCCCCCCAGGTAACAATGATTTGCACTGGGTTTATTAATAAACAACAGTGACTTTATAAAATATAAAAGGTAGGACTTAAGTGGTTACAAGTGATGGCTTACAGATCAAAGTTACATCTACCCTAGTGTAAGTACAAAAATAATAAAGCGCTGTAAAACTTAAAACAAAAATTCAGTTTTCTCCAAATTTCAGTTGTGTTGATGTTCTCCCTTCCCCCCCAGACTTCTCTTGAGTACCCCTAAGGGTATTCATACCACTGGTCGAGAAACACTGCTTTAAATAGCCGTAGCAATTCTGGGCAGCTTCCAGACAATGTAATAGCAGAGGACTGTGAGCTGTGAACTCTTTGCTGTGTTTTTAATTCAAAGTCTCTAGCCCCAGACAACTTGAGGGGAGGCTAGTCCCCAGCCCCTCCTCTTACTGGCCTCTGGGAAACAGATAACTAGACTGATGTAGGCCAGAACCCAACTCCCTTCAAAGAGCCAGCCTATGTTGCATTGCATTTCCCTGTTCTTACTAGGACTTTTTTCTTTCAGCCAGTGAGTGCTTTTGAACACGTCTGATGAAACTCCACAGCTGAAGTCCTAGTATATGGAAAGTTTCCATTTAGTAACTATGCTGGTAAGATGAAATATCAGATAGATTTTTAAGTCTGATGCTTCTATGTTTTTATGTCTGATGAAACTCTGCTGCTGATGTCCTAATATATGGGAAGTTAATTTACATTGCCTCTCAAGAGAAAAAAGGCTTGAACTGTAGAAGTGGAAGAGAGATGAAGATCTTCGCTGTTAGACCATATATGCTCTGGTGATTGTAAAACATACATAACTGATATAGGTTAATCATTCTAAATGAGACATTCACTGTGATCAAAAAGGAAAGAACACTCTCATTTCAAACTTTCTAAGAGTAAATGTTTTAATTCTTTGATTGCAGAATAGATGCGGTTGGCAAAGTAGCCCTGTACACAGAAAAATTGAAAGTAAAGCAGAGGAGAAAGTTTACAAGAAGATGGTGAGAGATTTAAAAACTGCATTTTTACAATTTCTCTTCATTGTATTCACCTGACATAAGTACATTTTTCCATCTTCCTGAAGTACTGGGTACCAAGTAAACTGCAGAGTGTAAAAGGGATACAGTTAAATGGAAATTTCCATGTATCAGGTGTCACAGCTACAACATAGAAAACCTTTTAAAATCAAACTTTATCTATAGAGAAAAAAAGATTTAGACACACCAAAACTTTGAGGAATTGCATGAATTTTGCTGAATTGGGAAAATTGGTTTTCAAAAGAGTAAAAATGGCTTTCAAAAACTGAAACATTTTGATATTTCCAACTGGAAAAATATTTTTGTTTCAAAATTTATTTTAAATTTGATTTAAAATATCAAACATAGGAGTGCTCAGCCAAAACATTTAGCTTGACCCCAAAATGAAACAACCTAGGTTTGCTGAGAATTTTTTTTAATGTTTTCAGTTTGATCCAAATAATATATTTTTCAATTTCTTGGAATTGCCAACAAATCAAGAAATCCATTATTCGTACAGTTCTAGTCACAGCTATTATTTGTGTGGGGATGGTGAGAAGGGAAAGTGTGTGATCCATTTTCCCTCCATTCCCATCTACATGTTTTCCATCTACAAGTCTTGGACCAAGTGGATTGTCTGAAGAGACATGTAACTTTTAGACACCATAAACAAAGGCGAGGGAAAATGTCCCCTTTCAGCTATTTTTGTGTCTAAATCATGTTGTAGATGGGGTGTCTCTCTATAATACTGCCCAGTGCTTTGAAAAAGTTCTTCTTTGTGGCTGGTTTGAATGCTGAGTTAGGGACATTGACTTCCCCACTTTTTCATTTTCAACAGTGAAATTGTACCCTCTCTCTAATTTTTAAAAATTTAGTCATTCATCTCTTTAATCCCTTCCATAAGTGAATTATTCAGATTGCTTTCCTCATTCTTTCCTCCTTCTTCTTGGAACATTGATCTGCGTACCATTGCAGGACTCTCCTTTTTTGTTTTTCTCTTAATGCAAGAACTTCCTTGGTTTTCCTGCTGCAAGAACAAGTGACAGTTATGTTGTACTAAAGGTAAAGGTTTTATTATCAGAGAGGGAAAAGCAATAAGGAAAAAACACTAGCAGAAAGATAAACTGCACAGAATTCTGAGAAGTCAGTAAGAGATTTTATGACATAGCATATTTTAATAAGTAAATGGATATTAACAAGTTAGATTAAGGAACATATAAGAAGCCTGGTGGTGCTTACAAGACACATGAAAGTTTTATAACTAAATGACTGGATGCCAATAGTAATATTATTCTCTTTCACATCCATGAAACCAAAAGGGTATAACAAACATTTTGGGGGAAGCTTCAGAGGGGACCCCTGCTTTAAGGTTTTGCTCTGTATCAGTCCTTCCTTTACTAAAGGGTTCCATTGCTGTTTATTTCCACATTGGAATCCCATCATTCATGCATTTCCTCTCGTGTATTGTTGCTGGAGGAGCTCAGTGAAGGTACATCTAACACTACAGAGGAAGATCGAAGCTGCAGCTGTCATTCTCCTGGGGTTTGAATTAGCAGATCTCGTTAAGGCAGCTAATTTGAACTGAGAGGGTCGATGCCAGTAGTCCTCCTTCCATTTCAAGTAAGGAAAGTCAAAGGAAGAGGGTGCTCCCTTCAGCTGCAGTGTAAACAGCTCCAAAAGTTGAGTTAAGCTACTTCGACTTGAAGTCGAATAGCTTAATTCGACTTTGTCCCATAGTGTAGACATATCTTGCATTCTTGGAGGATCTGAATAGAAATACCACCTGAGGCATCAGCCTGGGCTTTGACTTTCCTTCTCTTTGGCTGAGAGAGAAAGGGCTGATTCTTAAGGAAAAACAGAGGAATAAGGGGCGAAGAGCTGAAAATCAATTAGAGCTTCCCGGGGCATCAATGTTCAGATCTTCTAAATATTTTGCCAGAGTCCTGAACAAAAGACAGGAAGTCAGGACTTGACATTTTCCTAAGTGAAGAACATGCTAAACATGCTTTTAAATACTCTGAGGCTATCTCTGTATTTCACAAAGAAGCAGTACTTTTTCAAATTTGTTTTTCTTCTCACATTCTATGACTTTCCTGTCTGTCTGGAGAGATAAGAAGGTCAATTAGCCTGCAAAAGACAATGCAATGTTAAAGTGTCCATTTTAGGAAACTTCAGAGGGGTATCCAAGTTAGTCACAAGAAAAACTTAAAAAACAACAAGTAGTCTAGTAGCACTTTAAAGACTAACAAAACATGTTCATGATATCATCTACACATTTTGTTAGTCTTTAAAGGGCTACTAGACTATTTGTTGTTTTTTAGTTTTTTTCATTTTAGAGAAGACATCCAATGTCTGTACTATAGCTCTCAACCCTCAAACTTTACTAGGTTGTTGTTGACTTATATAAGACATGAATGTGAAAAATATGATTTTCTGTTACCTCATTTAGATAGGAAATGCTCTGGCTCTTAGGCGTTGGTGGGGGCTGGCATCTGTCTTCTCCATCTTGGTTCAAATGCTTTTTCTCTGCAGGAGTGCTGAGCATGCTGCTACTCTTTTGTCTGTGATATAAATATAGGGCATTTTTACAGAGCCCCAAAACATGCTGTGCATTTTACAGAAATATGGTGCCTACATCAAAATAATGTAACATCTGTTTAGCTAAGAGAAGACATGTGACAATGACAATAGTGACTAACACTGTGGGGATGGTGAGAAGATCACACAAGAAAATCACATCCCTCCAGAGAGCAGCCTCTCCCTTTGCATATTATGGGAAACAGTCCTTTTTCCTGGGGCTTCTGGTTATCCTGACACAACCAAACCCTGACCTTCCTTTAAAGTGAGGAGAAAAAGCTGCATACCAAATTTGGTGGCCCCATCTCTTACCTTTTAATAGGAGTTCTTGAATAAACTGACTTACAGAAATACACACAGGCAGGCAGATGTACTCTAAAAATATAAATATATATATATATTTTTATAAATATCTTAGTCAGTTAGTTCTTGATTGCAAATATGTCAACAAAGTAAAAAAAATCTAAGCTTCAGGGGGTAGCCGAGTTAGTCTATAAAGTGCGACCAGACCATTTGTTGTTTTTTAAGTTTGTCCTGTACAGACTAACAAAACATGTAGATGGTATCATGAGCTTTCGTGGAGATCTGAGGAAATAGGCTGTGCTCACGAAAGTTACCAGACCATTTGTTGGTTTTTAAGTTTATTTTAAAAAATCTAAGTTAGTTTTGATGGCTCTTAGCTATGTAGCATCTCCTAAACTGGCTTATGCACCTCCCATTCAAGAAGTGAGGAATCTCGGCCTGAAGTCTATTGGAATACCAGAGGCAAGGGTGGTCCTTTTCCTTTATCACCAGGTCACCAAGGAAGGGTGAGAGTATATTAATAAAAGCTTTATAGTACATATCATATTTGTAACTCCGATTTTACCATTTGATTATTATTTTATTACAATTCTATTTATCTCGCCAAAAGCTTTAAGGCTATATTTGTCAAAAATCTGGGGCTGAGATGACAAGGTTTGTTTTCAAGGTCTCAAGAAATTCAGATGACACGTGTTTATTTTAGAGCATATTATAGACAGAGAGCAACATCTTTGAATGAGGATCAGAAAGGAAAGGATGTGTTCGTATGTGTCCATAGAAGTTTGTAACAGAAAATGTCATGCAGAAACCTAACATTGTAGTTTAAGCTGTGGAGCAGGAAAGAGGAAGGTAAGATAATTTACTAGAAAAATGATAATTCAACTTACTTAATCCATTTTCTTTTCCTTGATACCACAAAGCTAATGATGAGTCCTATGGCAATCAGAATAAAAGAAAATATGCAAAGTACTTCCCAGATACACGTTCTGCTCTCCTCATCAGATGCTGAAATTTAATTTAGCAAACACTGAATGTCACACAGATGTCAAAGATTTTCTTACATGTCCAATCCTGATACTGAGAACTAGCTATCACTGAGTTCTAAATACAGTTCTGACCAAGACTGGCTCTAGGTTTTTTGCTGCCCCAAGCAAAAAAATTTTTGGCTGCCCTCCCCAAAAAAACAGGGAGGGGGGGGGGGGGGGGGGGAGGAGGGAGACCAAAATTGTTGAGCAAAAAAAAGACTCCAAGACTTAAGCCAAAAAAAATAAAAATAAAACAGCATTGAAACAGCATGTCCCCTTTAAGAGTGAGTGCAGGGATAGGAACAGGGGAGTGGTTGAGCACTAAGACAACCTTGGTCTTTTGGCCAGCAGCCATTTTGTGCCGGCAGCCCTGTGGAACCAGCTAAGCAAGGGGGCTGGAGGTGTTAGGGGCCAGAGGAGGTTTGGGGGTGGGGAGGCCAGGTGCTGAGTGTAGGGTTGCCAGGTGCCCGGCATTTTCGCCTCCTGGCTGGGGAAAAAAAGATGTCCGATATTCAGGTGTCCGATATTCTCTGAATTTTTTTTACCAGACAGGAGGAGAACATACCGGACTGTCCAGGTGAATACTGGACACCTAGCAACCCTACGCAGGAAGGGGGCATCCTACTTGGGATTTCCACACAATGTAGGCGGAGGGGTGGCTGATGGCTGGGTCCAGGCTGTGGGTCTGGTGGAGCGGAGCCTCCGCTTGGAGTGGAGAGTCTCTTGGAGGAGGTAGCGGGTGCTGGGGAGGAGCAGGACTCAGGAGACAGGGCCGGCCAGCAGGCTCTGGGACCGTGCGTACATGGTGCCAGTGCTGGCTGCGCAGCCTAAAATCGGTGGGGCGGGGCTGGGCACTGCCATGGGCAGTGCCGGCTGCTTAGCGACCACTGGGGAGGAGAGGAGACGGGGCAGCCAGCAGGCTACAGGTATGCATTGGTGCCAGCTGGCTGCGCAGCTTTGGAGTTTCCTGGGCTGTGGCCCTTTAAAATCAGTGGGGCGGGGCTAGGCATTGCCAGGGGTGGCGCCAGCTGCTTTTCTGAAATGCCACTCCTGGCACCTGCCTGATTTGCTGATGCCTAGAGCCGGCCCTGGTTCTGACTATAACTGTAGGAACGGGACGTGTTATTTAACTTCTTTAGGTACTAAGAATAAAATCAGAATATGCAGGTCAGTTATTCCCAATTAATAAATTATCAGACAATTATCTTTTCTTCTGTTTCTGAACTGTTTACAAAACATTGCTGATCTCAGGTCATGTCTTCCTTATTCACAGTACAGCAATGGTTCCCAGCCTTTGCTAGATGGGGACCCGTTTTAACAATTCAGGAAGACTTGGTGACCCCAAGGCAATTCAAAAACAGGGGGAGAAGAGCAGTGCCGTAACTAGCTAATTTTGTTCCTGAGGCAAGCATATAAAATTGTGCCCCCTCCTGTTTATATATTTATAGTAGTTATTTCTTAGAAAAACTGAAAATACAGTCAAATAATAACACTACATTTATTTGAATTGTGGTGTGGGAAAGACACTCATCCCTAAATCGCTCCCCCAGGCTTAAACCCCACACTCAGAGGCTGGGAGTCTCACAGTCAAGGGTCTGGGGGGCACACTCACTCAGGGGCTTGAGAGTCACACGCAGGGGTTGGGAGTCTCACAGGTGTTACAAAAATATTAAAAACATAATACACGCATTATGATTGTGCAATGCGATAAGTCTAAGACGGCGTATATTACTGCCTGTTATTTATACCAGGGTGACTCAACTTTAGAAGCCCCGGGGGCCACGATACCCACGGTATATGCCAAAGGCCACAACTAAGCGTGGCTGCATATATGCAAATGTATGCAAATCACAACATTTACTAAAATAGCCCCTCTCCTACCGCAGAGCCAGGCACCCTCCCGCTCCAACCCAATCCTCTTCCCTTACATTAGAACCAGGTACTCCCCAGTTCCCTGCTCCAACCCAATGCCCCTCCCCTTCCCCAGAGCCAGGCACCCCAGCCCACTACTTTATCTCAGTGTGTGACTCAACTTTAGAAGCCCCGGGGGCCACGATACCCACGGTATATGCCAAAGGCCACAACTAAGCGTGGCTGCATATATGCAAATGTATGCAAATCCCACCCAGCACAATCCCTGCCTCTCCCCCCAGGCTCCTGAACACAGTCCCAGCCCCTACACTGGCACCCCCCACATAGTCCCAGCACCTGCCCTAGCAACCCCTCCAGCACAGTCTCAGCGCTTACCCCAAGGCCCGCAGAGCACAGTCCCAGCCCCTTTCCCAGGCTCTGCCTCAACTAGGGTTGCCAGATGGTTGAACCAAAATTACAGAACACTCTCCCCCCCAACCCCAAAAAAAACCACATCGGGGAAAAAATTCTGTCGAGGAAAAAAAAGGGGGGGGGGCAAAGTTGTTGAGCAAAAAAAGGACTCCAAGACTTATTAAGCAATAAATAAATAAATAAATAAATAAATAAATAAATAAATAAATAAATAAATAAATAAATAAATAAATAAATAAATAAATAAATAAATAAATAAATAAATAAATAAATAAATAAATAAATAAATAAATAAATAAATAAATAAATAAATAAATAAATAAATAAATAATAAAACAGCATTAAAACAGCATGGTCCCTTTCAGAGTGAGTGCAGAGTAAGACTAGCAGAATAGGGATAGGAACAGGGGAGCAGTTGAACACTAAGACCTAGGGAAGGCTTTGCTTCGCCTTGGTCTTTAGACTTTTTGCTGGCAGCCATTTTGTGTTTTTGTTCAAGCCAGAATTTAGCTTCCCTGTGGAACCAGGTAAGCATAGGGTCAAGGAGTGTCGGGGCCCAGAGGCGGGGGAGACCGGGACTAGGCCCGGGCCAGGGCGTTAGGGTTGCCAGGTGTCTGGTATTTTCACCTCCTGGCCAGGAAAAAAAATCAGAAAATACCGGACATTTTAGGCATGCGCAGGGTGCCTGGGGTGCAGGAATGGTTCAGGCTGGCCCTGGTCACTAGGTGGATGCACATAAATGCCTCAGCAGACTCCATGGTGCCTGTGGGCACAGTGTTGGGGACCACTGGATTAATAAATAGCCAGAAATGAATAGCGAGTAAGCAGACTTGTTCCCATACAAACACAGAGTTTTGTTCATTCTTAAAATGTATATGAATAATGTTTTTGCATTATCCCACTATTTCTAGAAACCCATATTTCACATGTGTGTTTTGAGGATTAGTTAGGGGTTGTAAAATGCTCTGAAAGTACTAAGTAACTATTCCTTATAAAAATTACTATTAGACAAGAGAATTCCTTTAGCACTTTATTTCTTTATTTTCTATGAGATCTGCTTGAAATATGAAAAAAAAAACCAGGTTGCAAGTTTCAAAAGTGTCTCCCTTTCACACCATTTGGAATGGCCCCTTTTACATTAAAGATTCAACAAGGTAGCTTTTCAAGGTATACTTTTAATTTTATTCTCAAAATCATTATTGATTTTTCTGTAGGAAAGCTGTCAATAAATGAAATAATGATGAAAATGAATATTCAAAACTCTTTGTTTGCACTGATTAAAAATGAAAGATTTTGATGTTCCTGATACTTTCTGTACAAAATTTCATTTCTAAAAAAAAAAAAAAGGGCTGCTCCAGTGTCCTTTTCTATGAGAAATAAGGTAATTCATTATAAGAAATCCAAAGGAATCTTTAGTACAGGGCATCCTTTAATCTAAAGCTCCTGAAACTGCTCGAGAATTGCTGCACTGATACAAGTGTGATCTAAGCATCGGTGCACACTGCAAGGGTCGGCCTGATTTTAGCATGAATACCCACAGTGAAGATGTGGTACACAGGTGGCAGTCAGGTTAGCCACCCAGTACATGCTCCAGTATGGTTGGTAGCTTCTGCCACCATCCCAGCTGCCTCAACCACACGGCTATTTTTAGTACACTATCTTGATATGAGCTAGCACATCTTTTTGCGCCCATGTTGGGAAACTCCCTGCTAGCTACTATGTAGACTAAGGATGGGCAATCATTTTTGATGGGTGGGAGGACACTCCAAAAATTTGGTAACTCCATTGTACTACCTTTAGCTCACGGTGGCACTAAAAAGAAGCCCTGAGATATAAACCACTAAACCACTATAAAATCAAAGTTCACAGGGCAAATTAATGACCAGACAAGATTTAACCACAATTGTATTCACTGTGATTATACATTAACTATTTCTGCTTTAACTCACTGGAACAGAACCAACCTTTTTTGGACAACTATTTTTTTTTTGTAAGTCTCTACTCTCCACTCTTTAGACCATCCTATTTCAACACCCAGATATAACTTACCTTCATATTTTTCATATTTTTCTGATGAGTAAAATATCTTCTCTTGCCTTCCCATAGTATGGTTTACTATACAAGTGAAGGCCTTGATGTTTTTTGATTGCAGGGTCATCATAGACACGTTACATACACTTGTCACTGTTACTGTTCCATTTACGTTCTGGACCCTGTGTATCTCAGGCTGGCCAATCAGAACATCATGAGGCTCCCATGAAATTTCTGGGGCAGGTTTTGCTGTCACTGAGCAGGCTGCAGTGAAGAACTCCGTGTGCGAATGGAGTTCAGTTCTCACTGCAGGAATTGCTAAGAGAAAAAGTAGAGTGTAAAGGAAAACTTCAATATTGTTTACACAGTTACCAAAGAACTAAGACACATTCTAAGGTTTTAATACAGAAAACCAAGTTATTCCTGATATATTCAATATGTTCCTTTATAGTCTTAGATATAAATCGTTCATTATTATTTGTTAGCTGTTTGGTAGGGGTTTTTATGAAGGAGGAATAGGTTGGAAATTTAATAAAATTGGGATCTTCTTCACAGAATCTAAAGGAAACTCTCAGCCCATTCATGGGTCCTGTTCTTGTGAGGGGAAAAAATGTGCAGATACACACTTTTGATACATCTCCCTGTCCCTAGATTCAAGGGGAGCCCTCCACTGAACTGGGGATCCACATATGGGAAAGGGTAGGGATGTTAAATTTAGTTTAATCAACTAGACGATTTTCCATCGATTAGTCGATAAGTGGGCGAGCCACAGCGGGGTTACCTCCCAGACCGGGAGCTAACCCCACTGTAGCTCTGCCTTTTAAATATATTAAGAGCCTGTTGGGCTGATCCCTGGCTCACACCAGGTTCCCCTCCCCCCCTGCGCTTCTGATTTTTAAATGTATTAAGAGCTGGCATTTAAAAAGCAGAGGCGCAGCGTCAGCTGACTCCCAGTCCCCTGCTACTTCCTGCTTCTCCTGCCCCCCACATAGATGGTGCTCTGGGGAGCCAGTTTTTAAGCCAGCTCCCCCCTGCACCAGCTCCTGCCCCCATCCTTGCTGGCTCTGATAGAGGCAGAAAGTGAGGAAAGTGACTAATCAAGGCACTAGTAGACTATCTGATATGCTTTTGCTTATCAGATAGTCAACTATTCGACTAGTCGCTTACATCCCTAGGAAAGGGGCAAGCCAGGAGTAAGTCTGGAGATACATCCTTTTGCATCAATCCAGGAGAAAAATCAACCTGGAAGTTGCTGTATTGACTTCTGAATGGAAATTCTCCATGCTATAGGAGCCCACTTTGGGCACAGCTACACAGCCAGGCTACTAGGAAGACAGCAGGGCCTCCAGAGTCTGCTTATAGCTTATATCAACTTTTGGCGCTATCTACACAGCAGTTATTTCAAAATAGAGCAGTCTTTCCCTGACTTCCCTTACTCCTCGTACAATGAGCGTTACAGGAGTTGGAGTAAGACGACCTCCAGCTCAACATTATTTCAACATTATGTAGAAATAACGCCGCTGTGTAGACATAGCTTTTGGGAGCGGGCTACATGAACCATTCCACTCAGAAGCTTGGGGGGTAGCCGAGTTTATTGTTTTTTTAAAGTTTTTCCAGTTACAGACTAATAGTCTTGCAGCACCCTAAAGACTAACAAAACATTTAGATGATATCGTGAGCTTTTGTGGGTACAACCCACTTCTTCAGATGAAAAAGTGGATTGTACCCATGAAAGCTAACAATACCATCTACATGTTTTGTTAGTCTTTAAGGTACTGCTAGACATTCCATTCAGGTTTAGCTGAGTTCTCAACTATTATATATCATAGATTCTCCTTCTCTTGTCTGCCAAATTAATAATCAAAGACATGAACATTGAACACCAGGTTCATGTCACTGTCAAAGCAGCTGCAGACCCATCAGACTAGGAATGGCTGTGAGAACAGCTGTAGCAACAGTGGTGTGGGTAGAGCCCCTCAAATACATCCCAGCACAGAGACGCCATCTTTCTCAGTTGTAGGGGAGCTTTCAATCCCTGCACTGCCCCAACCTTGCCCCTAACTCCATCTCTTCCCCAAGTGGCCACTCTGCCTTGCCTTTTATTGCCTCCAGCTCATCTTGTCTTCCCCCACCCTTATCAGCCTCTCCCAGATGCACATGCTGCCTTCGCTCCTCTGCCTGCTGCAAACTGGTTAGCAGCTGAAACAGGGCAGGTTGGAGTTGCTTGGGGGAGGGGGAGGAATTGATGGGGTTATTGCCAGAGGGTGAGGAGCACCCAGTATTTTGTTTCCAGGGGTTCTCCAGCCCTGGAACACCCAGAGGGTAGGTGCTTACACCCCATCATCTCCTCTCTCTCATATTTGCTGTCCCCTGCATGGGAGGGGATTCCCTATCTCGTCGAGTAAAGGAACAGAGAAAGCTGGAGTGGACTGGTTTCCACCCTCTTCAGCTAGTGCATAGCACCAGTGGTCCACTCCCTCTCCCCTGCCCTCTTTCAAACAGCAGCCTTCTCCTGCTGCCAGCTAATGAAGTTAGTTCTGTGGTGGTAGCAGGCCATTGCAATAGCAAAGGCTCAGGGAGTCAATCTTATTTATGACAAGTTACAAGGGCTTGTTACAGGTAAACCCAAGTTCATTTGTTTTAATCCTGTCCTTTATTAAACATAGGAAATTACACTAAAAGACTACACTGGAAGAAGGTTATTCAGCTGTATTAATACCTCCTGTATTAGTCCACCTTGTAATTAAATGATCATGTATTTGGTGACCACAAACACAGAATTTTCTAAGTTTTGAGTGCTTAACTTTGCAATCTTTGTAACAATCTTTTAACAAACAACACAGACAAAAACCACCTACGTGGTAGGTGGTGGAGGTTTAATAAGAG